GACTATGGGTAAAGAGGGGCAACTGACACTAATTTTAGTCTTACTATATATATTATTTTATTATACATATATTTATATTATATATCTTTTTTTCTTTTACAGACCCAAGCCCATCACCCATTACAACAGCGGCCCAAAAGACCAACAAGTAACCCGGTTGGAGCAACCCGAACCGTCCCAAGACTGTAACCCAAACTGACCTGAATCGGTTAGGGGTTTAAAACCCTATCCCTCTCTTTCGTTCCAACCACATCCCCCTCGTCCGAAGATTCCTCACCCCAGCAGCAACCGTTTTTCTCGGCACAACAAACGTGGATTCAAATGACTCACCAACAAACAAAGAAATAAACATTTTAGTTTGAGTCAAACTCTAAAAATCAGAACTAAAAATAGCAAATCCTAGGCTATAAAATGATGTAAAATCACACCAAAAAAGGATACGAAAAAGCACAGAGGAAATCATACGAAATTCATGAACGAAAATAGGCAAGAAACACTTGTAATTTTCGAAGGGAAAAGAAATAAACATGTATCATTTTTTACCTTGTTCGTCTGTCGTTTGCTCGTGCACGGTGGTCAAGTTTTTCTTTTTTTTTTTGTTTTCGTTTTTACTCGAAAGAAGGTTCGGTCGAGGATCCAGGGAGGGTTTTTTCAAAAGATCTACTTTAGATTTAGCCCTCCCCGAGGCCGTTTTTCAAAAATAAAGTGGATTTTTGAAGTGGGGTTACAAAATGCTTTCGAAAAAAGGCAAAAAAAAATTTTAGCCACCACCGATGAACGTCAGTCGATCGTTTTTTGGGTTTGATGGTGGTGTTCTTCATAAGATGAAGAACTTATGAAGAACACCCAAGAACATTTCAGAGGAAATGTTGGGGCTCGTTTTGATCCATTTGCAAGGGGAAAAATGAAAAATGTTTGTTATTTTTAGTATTTATACCAACCCGAGTGACCCGGCCCACAGACCATTAGACCACATGTTTTTGAGTAAAAAAGGGTAAATTTCAATTTTAGTCCCCGTACTTTATACACGTGTATTTTAGTTCTCTTTAATTCAATTGTATACCGAATTCTTCTTAAATTGACCCTCAATTTTGATTTTTCTTTCAATTTAGCCACTTTAGTATTATTATATATATATATTATATTTTTATTATTTATTATTTTTATTATTTTTATTATTTTTTACTGTTTTTTTGGTTTATTATTATTATTATTATTATTTTTGTTGTTGTTGTTGTCGTTATATTTTTATTTATTTTTCTATTTTTCTTTTTGGTTTTTCATTATTTGTTTTCCATACGTTTTATTTATATGTATATATATTTTATTTCATTTTTATTTGTTTTTACCTAATATCCCTATATATATATTTATATTTTTCCTCATTAGTGTTTTTCTATTTATTTCATTAAATACCACATCTTATTATATATATTATTTTTATTTTTTTCTTTTTGTTTGTGTTTTGTATTTAATCCCGTTATTTGTTTTCTTCCTTATTTTTATATTTATTTTGTTATGTTTTATTTATTTATTTTAGTTTTTATTTCACTTTATTTTAGTTTGTTTTATTTTATTATTTTGTTTTTTTAAGATTAGTTTTTATTAACTATTTTTTAGGTTTTATGTTATTTATTTATTGTTTTAATAAAAAAAATTATTTGTTGTGTGTTTTAATATGAACACTTTATTTCCTTTAATTATTCGTCATGCATATTGTCACTTAATTCGATCCAGCATCTTTTTTCTATCTAACACTTTTTCTTGACTTCTTAAGGGTACACTTTTAAATCCGTTAGAGGTAAGTAATTTGGATCATATTTTACCTTTTAATTTAAATTAAAATTTTCCTAATTAAGACAACTGAAAATTAATTAGTATTGAAAGGGCAGTTCAAATGTGTTAATCCTTCTTTGACTGTAACTGACTCCCGAATCTGACATATTTCTGGTAAAAAGCAGATCATGTAAGATGGTGTCCGATCAACCTAAATATTTTTAAAATGATCGGTGGCGACTCTAACCATTTCATTCAAGTCGAAGCCCAATTCCGGGCCCAACCGAAAGACGGCCGCGACAATACATATATATATACACGTATATGTTGGATACATAATAAAGTTATATATAAAAAAAAGCGATGGTAACACGTACATGTAATATAGTAAACAAATACATTTATTATATTCATAATCATAATGTATAATATGGTTCACATATATGTGTAAACATGTATTTATAAATTAAATTCAAAACTATAAACATGGAATCATTTAAAAACATAATACACACGAAGGAAGTTAATCTTACTTAAAAAAAGACTAAGTAAAACTAATATTACGTTGAAGAACTAAACATATAAACTAGTAATTATTAGAATAACCACCGAAAATATTAAATAATGAAAACACCACAATAAGTACCATGAATATCACTTGGGATTAAAATAAAAATTAATATAACTAAATATCAAAATTCAAAGTATCTTAAAACATGAAACATAGGAGCAGAATCTAATAAAGGAAAAACAAATGCCCAGAACAGAAACAACTTCATTCCATGACCAAAATGAGTATTTACACAATTTATAAGGACCAGGTGCGTGAATATACCCTCACATCAAAACGTACAACATCTTTCCTCACCGAACGAAGTCGCATTGATAGCCAAATATAATACCAAAATCAAGGCCTTAAACCGACCATCTCCCAATTTCTCTCATTTTCCCCCTCTCTTAAAACATAGAGCAAAAAATGCTCTCAACTTATCTCCCTCTCGACCTCTGTCTCCGCCGTGGAGCAAAACCAGAGGTCACCGTAGACGGCGGCGATGGTATAGGAAAACGACCCAAACACCAACCTTTAGCCTTCCTCTCTCTTTTATACTCTAAAATAGTATATCCATTACCTTAAAATCAAACAAAACCCCCCATATTTAAACCCTAGATCTGAGAAATGGGAAGGGTTTACCTTCGGTGGGGGCTCTGACAGCTCCAGTGAGGTTACAACGATCGGGTTTTGGATCTAGGGTAAGATTTATCTCTTCCTTTCCTTCTCTACTTTGGTTTTTTTCTTTTGGGTTTTCCCTTTTTTTGTTCGGGGTTCGAATGGGTAAGTACTTTTTTCCTTTTTGTTTTTCTCTCGAAAACTTTATCTTTATTTTCTCCCCCTTTTCCGAATGGTTCCCATATCTTCTCTGCCTCCTTTTATTTTTATGGCTCCCTTGCATGTGGTGATTGATCCCCTTTTTCTTCCTGAGGGAATGAGGTATGAACACCCTATATCTGCTTGACAGAACCTCCCTGATTTCCTCGGGGTTTCTTTGAATACCATCATATTTGTTGAATGGGTTTTCTGACTTGATTGGATTTCTTGTCACTATTGGTACAAACTTGTCGATGGCGGCGAGGGAAACTCGGCTCGAGCGACGACGGTTGAAGTTAGGGTAACAAACCCTAATCTAGGTCCATTTAAACCGTTGGATCAATTCTGATATAACGGTTATTGAAAGAAGCGGCGAATGTTAATGCGAAAACCCTAACAGACCTGGATGTTGGGCAGGTTCAGATCAAGACACGGGTCGGGTTGAATGATGGGCCTGTAACCGGGTCTTGCAACTGGGTTGGTCCTGTAATTGGGGTGACTTGGTTTGGGTCTCAAGTGGCCAACAAAAAATGTAATTAATTAATATTAATACTACTACTACTAATAATAATAATATAAAAAAAAGACCCGGACAAAAACGGGTATCTACATACAAAATTCATATTACAATCCTCCTAAAAAAATTTTAACATTCTATTTTATTATACTCAAATTATTTTTATTTGAGTTTTACTCTAAATTTTTTCTCGTCACATTCATTTAGTACTTGTGAAATCAATGATTAAATTTAAAGTGTATACACTTTAATATTTAAATCTAGTCATCGGATTAGGCCAAAACTCTAACTGTGACTTACCACAGTTTTATGACATCTTTTGACCATTTAAATTTGTTAAGATCTACCTTTAAGTTTTTATAATCACATAAATTTTCTAATATAATCCAACCATCATGAGAAAAAAAATAGTTAACAACGAGAGAAAGGGTAAAACGTCATGCAATGTGTTTATTAATCTAAATCTTTTAAATGTCCAAATGCAAAAAATATATAATGATTTATACATTGGGGTGTAAAGTGAAAAGATAGATGTACTTGAAGGACCAAAATGAGACAAAAATACACAATGCTAAGTGAAAAAACAAATACACTTGGAATACTAATTTGTGAATTAAGTTAAAAATAAATAATAAAATATAATAATTTTTAAAAATATAACCTTAAAATACCCATATTCCATCACCCATAAATTTAACTTAATTACATTTTAAATGTATTCTATAACATTTAGGATTAAAAAGATATCAATTAATTGCAAAATATTTTATTTTTTATAATTACATTGAAAACTAAATATGATTAAATTATTTAAATCAATTAATAATTTTAAAATTTATATTGATGTAATTAAGATGTATTGAAATTAAATATAAAATATATTGAAAATATTAAAAAAATGATAAACTTCAAATGATACACCGAAATATATTAATATTGGTATATATCAATGTAAGAGAAAAATAAAGAGAGTCAGTACTATGCTATTTTCCTTTGATATCCGTATATATATAGACAGAGATGTGCGTTTGATTTATCGTTTTAATATTATTAATAAAGCACAATAATTATATATATATATTAATTAAAAACCTATGGGTGGATATTGTATTTGTTTAGGGCCATGGCCCAAATAGTTGTAACGGCACAATCCCTTCTAAACCCATTTATATTTGAACAAGAACACCGCGAATGCATTATTTCCACCGACTTAAATTGGATGGGCTTTTCCTTGATTTATATGTTTTGATTTTATTTTCATTTTCGCATTCTTGAATTATTGGAAGCGATACGCTCAAAACTCCCGCCAAAACTTTCACTGCTCCCGCTTATCATTCCATTCCATAGCCTCAAATCAAGCGTCCGCGGATGCTTCTCTTTTCCGGAACCCAAACAAACCATGTCAGCAGCACCTGGAAGTGGAGCTATCCCCAGCAATAACCCTAGCCCTAAATTCAACGGCTTCAAGGATCCCAAAAATGTTCACCCTATTGCAGGGATTCCGGTGGAATTCCCATACAAGCCGTACGGCACTCAGTTATCATTCATGTACAGAGTCATATCAACCCTAGATCGAGCTCAGAAAGACGGACACTGTCATGCCTTGCTCGAGTCGCCCACTGGTACCGGGAAATCACTCTCGCTTCTTTGCTCCACTCTTGCTTGGCAGCAAAAGTGTAAGGCCGACAACAACAAAAGCATTCTGTCTCAGTCCAAACCGGATCCAGAGGCCACCACTGATCCTCTTGGCCACGGTGGGGGTTTTATCCCTGAAACTCAGCTTTCAAGTAAGTCTATAATGCTTTCGCACATTTCCTTGTTTTTTCTATTTTGATTCAGGTTTACTATTTCCAGCATTGCTTTATTTAACTTGGAATTTGATAGAATAAAACACTGTTCATTGATATTCAAGAGTGGATGGTCCTTGATTATTTTCTCAGGCGTTCCTCTATCAAGTGTTTCGGAGCCACCTGAGCATTCATCAAATAGCAAGAAAAAGAAGAAAAAGTTGGCTCCTACCATATATTATGCTTCGTAAGTTTAATTATTATTATTATTATTATTTGTTTGTCTGAAGCAGGTTTCCCTTTAATGTCATATTCTATTTAAGTTACCATTCTTTTTGTCTTTTTGACATCAAACTTCCACTCAGATTAATGTGGTCCTGCAATAATCTGATCTAGTATACTTTTTATCAAATATTAATGTATAGCAGCTACAACAGGAACAAAAGGATAATGGTGTATGTTGAGTGAAAAGGATACTAAATGTTATTTCATTTACCTTTTTGGTGTGATAGAAATGGTTCTTTTGGAGTTGGTACTGTGCTTGGAATCATTGCTGGTTTAAGCCTTTAAAATTCTCCTTATAACTGAGCTAATATTCTCATTTCTCAATGCATAATCCATGTAAAAAGCTTCTACAACTTGTATAATTGGAATGTAGGTATCTTATTAAGCACTGTGGTTTCCTATTAATGTCAGGAGGACACATTCACAAATTTCTCAAGTGATTCATGAATACAGAAAAACTTCTTATCGAGTGCCAATGGCAATATTGGTACGTTTTACCTTCTTCATTTTGATTTCTTCTTAATTGGAAAAAGCTTTCATCAATTGTATTCTTCTACGTAATTTTAGTAATGTTAAACAGACCCTATTATTGAAACTGTCAACTTTTGATTCTTTTGAAAATTTCTCAGGCTTCAAGGAAACATTATTGCACAAATCCTCAAGTCTCCAAAGAGAATATTGATGAAGAATGGTGCCATATCTGGACCTCTGAATTCTTTATTATTCCCCAATTTGATTTCCATTACTTTATTCATACTAAAGCTGCTATTGGAATTTGCAGCAAGCTTCTCTTGAGTAATCCAGAGGGAGGTTGCTCTGAATTTAAGTGAGTTCTTCCTCTGTCTGATATCCATTTATGCTGTCTTAGTTTTGGTTTCCCACAAGTTCACTGTCAATTTAAGAGTAAGAGTATAACCAACAAAAGAACTCATGTCAAGCAGGAATATGCATAAGGTCAAATGTCATCCCTCACTTCAGAGAGGTGGCTGTCATGAGGCCCATGATATTGAAGATCTTGTCAAAATTGGACAAGTTGTTAAAGGTTCTTTTTTTTATGTGTTTCTACCACTATGTTGCTCTTCTGAATCTGACTGAAGGTTTTCTTCATTTTCCAGGATGCGCATACTATGCTGCACGATCAATGGCAGATGATGCACAATTGGTTTTTTGCCCATATAGCTACATCATCAATCCTGTTATTCGAGGAGCAATGGATGTGGATATCAAAGGAACTATTATAGTTCTTGATGAAGCTCAGTATGTTACTACCAAGTTCCACAATGATTTCCTGATAAACATTTGATTGGTTTAAGATAAATTTTAGCAGAAACATATGTTCTCTAGTAACAACTAAGATTTTGATAAATAATTATTTCCAGTGATCGTCTCTACCCTATAATTTGGCCGGGTTGAGGTTTTGTATGTTGTTTTTTTTGGTTGGAGGCATCTGATGTACCCAAAAGTTACATTCCTTTTGACCTTTTTGTGGGTTTATACGATCAAGGAAACGCTCAACTATGTCAGTATCTCTTTATTTCCCCTTGTTTTTATTTCTCTTATTTGTAGTACTTGAACTCCTGCAAATTCTGCAACCTCAGATGCACTGAAAAGAATCAGTTGGTTAAGTTTATGATTTCTTGACAATTGAAAGGCGAATAATATATGCTGCTGTGTTTGATGTTGTGTTTCATTCTTGGGTCTACATAGAATAGATGTGACAGCTGTGATTTGTTTGAACCCAAAGGATTTCAGGAACATATCTTTAGATCCTTAAATAAGTTTTAAAATTGATGTCTATAATAGTTGGGGGCTGCCATTTTGCTTGCCAAATTGTACATGTGGACAAATGCAGGTGGTTTGGGATTGACTTCTCATGCCATCTGGGATAACTGATTACCATTTGATTTGATTTTATATTTGTTTTGCTTGTGTTCTGATATCAAAAGAGTTTCTCTTGTTACAGCAACATAGAAGATATTGCTCGTGAAGCTGGTAGTGTGGATCTTGAAGAAGATGCTTTGCTCAGTAGGTTACCGAACTTTTAGTTTTAGTTCTACTTTGTCATGTTAGGATTCTTGTTCTTATTGCAATTATTGGCTATGCTAGAATTGCAGACAGAGCTTCATCAACTCAAGTTGATAAATGCTGACATTTACCAACCATTGTATGAAATGTCAATGGTAAGAAAAGTCATTTATCCTGTAACAGTGAGGTCTGACTTTACATTTGTTAATTTTTTGCTTTTAATGATTGGTGTTGTGTATGTGTAGAACCTACTAAGCTGGATTGAGCAGACGAAAAGCAAATTAGAAGAAACACATGAATCTAAAAACTACTTCTCCTCGTAAGTTTTGAAAAAAAACATCTTCATTGTCATTGTTATCCTTATCTCCTTTTGTGAGACTGTCATGTTGTCACAATATATTGAAATCCCTTTAATCTTTCTTTTTAGCAAATGATACATTCTTGTTAACATCTTCTTTCTTGTATAGTTACTATCCTTGAGTATAGGGGCCATTTCGCATTTTTTTGTTGTTTCTGTTCTTCCCGATAACCATTGTTTTCCATTATTGATACTAGTATTTAAATGGCAGTCACACCCACCCATGTTCATGTAACAGTTTTGGGGATATTATATGCTTTTCATGACATGTTATGCTTTATTTTGTAATAAAGAAATCAATGGAACTATGGCAGTTTTCACCTTAGCTCCTGAAAAAAATTTTGTTTGAGAAAGTTAATTAAAGTTATTGTGTCTTTCTCATATTTTTTTCTTGTTAGAATTTGGTTTGCATAGTCTTACATGTTTCTATAAACTTGTCTTTAGTTGGACTGGTGACAAGGCATTAAGGCAACTCCAAGAAGCTAACATTTCACAGCAATTCTTTCCTGTCTTGCTAGAATGTGCAATAAAGGTACTTAACAAAATTTTGAGTCTGGATTCTTACTGTTTTATATTGATATTGATGGTGAACCACATTTCATTCAAGGCAATCAAAGCTGCTTCAGATACAGAATCGGAAGTACTTCATTTAAGTGGAATGTCCGTGATAACATTAGAAGGTACATCTTCTATTTCTCTTGTTTTTATGGCTGCAATCTAATAAAGCCCATGCAGTCTGAAAATTGGTATTAACTACATTAAGATATGCATTACAGGGATGTTCTCTTCGCTGACATATTTCTTTTCAAGAGATGGTTCTCACATATTTGATTATCAGCTTGCTCTACAACGACACTTTAAAAAAGATGAGAGTAAGTTGTTGATGAGTTTATTACTAAGTTTTTATACTTTCATTTTTGTTAGAGATGGCAGTGGGTTGGATACTGAATATCTACTTTTTTTTGTGATATCCGAACTTGGATTAGCATAACTACTTTAAAATCTGAATCTGAATTAAATAGTGTTATCTACCGGATATTTGGATCTGCTAAATAAATGAATTCATTTGGTCAAGTTTATTTGTTTATTTTTCATTTTGCAAATACTCAGATAATGGACGCGGGTTTGGATATCCAAATTTGTAATTTGCTTAAATATTGCAGATTTTGATAGCGTTAATATTCACATCTGCTTTGGATAATAATTATAATATTTGAATCAGAAAAAGAAAAAAAAACTGAATTGGATATTTATAAATATCTGAATTTGCACTATACATAATCATACTTAATTTTCAAGCGGACCGTTAAATTGTTATTTTATAATTAACTCTCAGGTAGAATTTCATCCTTGTTTATATTAGTGAATGGGATGGTAGGTATGTTGATCTTGCAGATTATAATCAGAGTCAGTTCTTAGCTAAAAAAGAATTTAAATAATCATGAGCATAAGTTTGTGATTTAGCTGTTCGTTCCTATAGTTTTTTTCCCTTTATTGCAATGATAGTTAATAGTTTCGCTAGAGAACTTAGTTTTTTTAGTTGCCACTATGTTTTATGCTCTTTTGACTGAAAAAGAAAGGTTATTGATAGTGTTTTGCATGCAGAAAATGCTTTTGGCAGTTGGACATGTTCCTTAGGCTTGTGGTGCTTGAACCCATCTGTTGTCTTCAGAGATATAACTGATCTTTCATTATCAGTCATCTTAACTTCCGGGTAAGAATGAACTTTTTTTAATGTTTCAGTTGTCAGCCTTGCATTAATGAAATACATCATAAAAAAGTTTTTTCAGCTTTATGCAACCTTAAAATAGCGTACCCCAAATTTCCTTGCAAGTTTATTCCAGCCAAGTCAAAGACATTAACAACTGCTACCTACCTGGAAAGATATCTTCTTTTGAAGATACATTTTAGTATCTGATTAACACATTATTATATACCAATACCAGCATCCCATTGGCATGTCATCCTTTTTGAAGGAACTTGCCATTTATGATGTCTGATACTGTGATGCAATATGGGGAAGATTCTTAAAATTATGTGTTTTCCATTTACTAATTTCTTTGGGCTCACTTGCATTTCTAAATGGTGTTTTCCACTTTTAATTTTATGAATTGTTCTATAACCTAGGACGTTATCACCAACGAACTCCTTCTCATCTGAACTCGGAGTGCAGTTTGGAAACTATTTGGAGGCTCCTCATGTTATTGGTGTTAAATCCCAGGTGCAAGTTTTATTTTCTTTGTGCTTATGATTCTTTTTTTTTTATAAGAATTTTAGGCCTCATTAAAAACCCCCTTCTTGATTAATGGAGCTTGTAGAGAAGCTCCTTAATCAGCGGAAGGAGGAAAAGAGTGCCTTAGGATTTTATTGAACAATAAAAACATAAGATACAACCGACAAAACCACCCCAACAGAACCAAATAAGCTGAAAACACCCATAAAACACCCTAACTAAAGACACAAAATCAACGAAAACAACACTAGTAATCCCCTTACAAAACACATAAAATCCAGACACCACCCTAAACAGCCATCAACAACTTTACTGACTCAGCCTATGCCTTCTTTAGCTAAGGCATCAGCCTCTAAATTGGCTGTCCCACTAACCCATCTAACCACACCTTCCAAGGCATTAAGCCTATGAGCAATATCTTTAATCAAGAAGGCATATACAACAGGACATAATTCATCCCCTTAATCCAATCCACAACCACCTTACAATCACTCTCTATAATCAGACGGTCCTTGATCCTCTGTCGATAGTTTGCAAAGAAAGACAACCCCAAAAGAATAGCCTTTAACTCCATCAACGTAGGAGGTCCCGGACCGGCAGTTTCCTTGAAATAGCCTATAGTAGAACCTGAGGAATCTTTTAGAACTCCTCCTAACCCGCTTTTCTTCCAATCCCTTGTAGTGGCAGCATCAACGTTTAATTTAACAAAACCCAAAAGAGGAGGAGACCAAAGTAAAGTAGGAGAAATCTGAGTAGAGCGAAGAGAAAATAAGTCCCCAAGAGAAGGATCGGAAATGAGTGAGTCCTTAGGAATAGACGCATCTTTATACTTTGCTAAGAACTAAGAAGCAAGCCTAAACCTTGCTAAAAAGAAGAATTCTGCCTTATCAAACTTCCCCCCTTCAAACACCACGAAATTCCTCATTTTCCAAGTGGTCCACAGAACGACCTCTTTTAAACAAATCCCAAGCTAGAAAGAAGCTTTTCCAAGTTAGACTTTAAACCATCCCAAGCTAGAAAGAAGCTTTTAGCGTCCGCTGGTAACACAGAACAAATCCTCCAAAAACTTAAAAACTTATTCCAAAGGGACCACACCATCGAACAAGAGAAAAACAAATGAGAGGGAGACTCATCCGACATCTTGCGTAGGGGACACAATATATCTTCAATTCCTTGAACACCTCTTTTGACAAGTTCAGTCCTAACAGCCAGCTTCCCATGAGCGATCTGCCAAAGAAAACACACTACTCTTGGAGGTAGTAGACCTCTCCAAATGATCTTCTTCCAGAAAAAGACCTCCTCCGATCCCAAAGTCTCCAATGAACCTAGATTTACAGCTGATCTAACAGTAAAAACCCCATCCCCAGTACCTTCCAGATCACACGATCAAGAAATTCCGAAGAGAGTGAAAATTCTGAAATGATAGCCAACAAGATAGACCATTGTTCAAGTTCCCAGTCATGAAGATTTCTTTTGAACTTGACATCCCAAGTCCAAACAGAAGAGATATACTCCCCAAATTCAGATAATTTCCCAAACTGATTTAAGGAAATAGAAAATAGTCTCGGAAAAATGACATCAAGTGGATGATCCATAGCCCAAATATCTTGCCAAAACCGAATATTTTTACCATCACCAACATGAACACTACTCATGCTTCTAAACTTAGTGCCAAAGAAATCTTCTTTAAAATAATTATTTAGCAGTGATCTCCAAATCCAGGATACCTTAGGTGGAAGCTTACTGTCCAGAGTTAAAACTGAAGAATCGAGTCTATATTTGGCACAAACAACTTCCCTCCAAACTGAGTGCTTATGATTCTTATTTCCACTTTTTTTTTGTCATGGGTAATTGACTATTCTGTTGCAGGTATGGTCTGCTGTAATCTCCCATGGTCCAGGCAATTGTCGATTGGATGCAAGTTACAAAACAGCGGATCAGTGTGCTTTCCAGGTATATTGAATTTTGTGGCAATTTTGGTTTGAATGAGAATCAATTTATTATTTGACATTTGTACATCCTTTTTTTTTGTTCTGAAGGACGCACTTGGCAAATCCTTGGAAGAAATTTTCACGATTGTTCCAGGTGGTTGCCTGATATTTTTCCCAAGTTACAAGCTGATGGAGAAGCTTTGTGACCGTTGGCGTAACACAGGCCAATGGTCACAACTTAAGGCACGAAAGGCCCTTTTTGTTGGTAAGACATATTTTATCCCTTCCTCAGATCTAAGGTGGTTGTGTGATGATTAATTTTCTTGTCAGAAATTACTATTTAAAACTTTGTTTCTATGGATAGTTGCCTGGCCCTTTGTATTGCTGTTGGAGAAGGCCTGATGCTCGGTCTTTACAACTCATGTTCTTCATACTTGGGTATCTCTTATTGTGTTGGAAATCTGATATAGTGGACTCTGTGCAGAGCCAAGAGGGGGGAACCAGGAAGAATTTGAGACTGTACTGAAAGGTTATTATGATTCAGTATCTCAAGGCAAGAAACCTGTTCTTCGGAGAAAGAGAAAGACAAAAAAAACAGATGACTATGTGAGTGAGTCTGTTGAAGTTGCTAACATTGGAGGAGCAGCTTTTCTTGCTGTTTTCCGTGGAAAGGTTTGAATTGCTCTTTTCCTTGTCAAATTTCAACTGTTGGGAGATTTTTTTTATAAGGATTGGTTTCATTGTTTAGTTGAGGACAGTGAAATCCTATTGTTACCACTTTATATTTCTCCTATAGGTTTGGGCAATTTGGTCCCTATTTGAACTAATTAGTGGAAATACTATTTTTAATGTCTCATGCCTTTATACATTTATGTGGTTCTTTAGAAGTTGGTTTCTATATTTTCTTTGCAGGTGTCAGAAGGCATAGATTTTTCTGACGATAAAGCTAGGGTGGTTGTATCCTTTTGATCCCTTTGAAGTTTTGGTCCTTTTCCTATATTTCAGTCATTAACTTGGTTTTTTTTGGCCACTTATCAATTGTGTTCGTTTTCCTTCTGATTACCTGCTTTTTGCTTATGCCTTTAAGAGCACAAAGGTGTATTTTGTTGTATGATTGTTAACTAATTGTGAATTCTTGACTATCTAAGATAGCTGTTGGCATTCCCTTTCCAAATATGTACGTATTCTCAGTTGTCGATGATGTTTTCAAACAATTTTTTTTTCTTGATTTCTGACTTATATACACTTTGCAGAAATGATAAACAGATCGCACTAAAGAAGAAATATAATAATACATACAGATCATCTAAAAACCTTCTGAGTGGAAATGAGTGGTACTGCCAGCAAGCGTTCAGATCTTTAAATCAAGCTCTTGGTATGCCTAGTAAATTTCCAGCCTCAAGGTTAAATTATTTGTTCATTCTTGTACTGTTTGTTACTGGATTTGGTAATACAGCAGGTCCAAGTATTGCACGTTATTTTGGTTATTTACAGATAGTTGATTACTTTATTTATGCATATATTCTTCCTAATCCCCCGTGAAAAAACAGCAAATAAAAAGAAACCTTTGTCTTCGATGGTATTATTCAATAACTACCTTTTTCTATGCAGGGCGCTGTATACGTCATAGATATGATTATGGAGCCATCATCCTATTAGGTAATGATTTTGAATTTGGTTTTAGTTATTACAGATGTTTCAGAAAATAAGATGCTAAATGACAAAAATTACTTTCAAATGAAAAGATAATAAAGGGAACTTCTTCGTGGACATTTGACAATGTCTAAATCTTATAACAATGTTGCCTTACGCAAATTACCACTGGTGCCATTGATTTGTGATAATTCACTAGTTTATTGGGGTTTATATATTAAGAGCTTTTCAAAATGAGTCTCAAGTCAAGAAATACATCTAGAAGCTATTTGTCTTGTAGGTGAGCATATTTGGAAATGAGTGATGTTCTATTCCCCTGAAAATGTAGATGCATAGGATTGGACGTGGACAAGGGTAATTTGTAATATGAAAGAGAGTAGTCATTGATGGTTTACTGTGCCTCTAGTGAGATGCATAACCATCTGGTTATTGCTACTGCATGGATGATTAAATGGTGTATCATATATATATAACCAGTTGGTTTTGGGTTAAGTCTAGAACTGTTTTCTAGTTTTTCCTTTTTTCATTTTTTGCAAGGAAAACAAATCTTTATCTTCTAAGAATTCCCAATTTCTTGTTCTAGAGAATTTTTTGTGAGCTCTACTTCAATGTACCGGAGCATCAAACTTGTATGTTAAATACATAAAACGATGCCCCTAGAAATGTGCAGATTTTACTATTAGGTAGCTAGTAAATACATGAAGCAATGCCCCTAGAAATGTACAGATGTTACTAGTAGGTACCTAGTACCTGTGCTTCGTCAGAGTCTTCTATTAGATGCTATTGTACCAAAGTTAATCAATGTAACAGTCTGATACATTTAATTATTCAATTAAAACATGGCCTGTGGCATTTTGCTTCGTTGAGGTAGCGTTCTTCATAAAATTTAGAAAATGGGAAGTAATCCTCACCTTTTTAATGCTGATTTAAATGGAAATGTTTTCTGTTATCAGATTGGCGTTTTCAGGATGAGAAGAATAGAGCTTATATTTCAAAGTGGTTAAGGCCATCCATTAAAATGTATGGAAGTTTTGAGAAGTCATTAGACGAGCTGAGATCCTTCTTCAGTGAAGTCAAGGTTCGTTTTGAGTTCCTTTATTATTATATGTTTTTTTAAACTGTTTTTTTTCTTGTTTGTGGACTGCGATTTAATGGTGTTACATAAGGTCTTTTCTCTGGCTTCACTTGTTTGCAGGACTTGGTTGCCAAGAACAAGGTTTGTAAACCTGAACTTGAATAACTTTAATGAAAAATTCCCTTCTATGGATCGAAGCTGCGAATTACCAGAAAGAGAAATTTGAAACTTATCCCATCTGTTCATTGTGGGCAGGAACTATCTTCTTTGGCAAAATATGATATCACTTCGCCTCAATTGAAGCCTCAAAGTGATGTTGGAGCTCAGCCAAGTATGCAAGCAGATAAGGATGAGAAGACCTGCAATGAATGTATTGATTTAGAGTGTGACTCTCCAAAAGATTCACGGTAAGTGACTGACACTTATTATGTACTTTGAAGCTGAAATGTAGCGATAGCAAACTATATGCTCGTGCATGTAACTTCACTGTTGAATCACTGTACATCAGTACTGGCTGCATCATGTTTAGGAATTTTCTGTTGTTTGATCATTTGCTTTTGGACGCTTTTCAATGTTCTTACTTATATCTAGCAGTTTGTAACTATTTTTTTTTAAAGAATATGGAACATCAAAATGTTATTATTGGCTTAGAAGCATCTTTTTGTAGGTGTTTTGAGGCTTCATCTATGACATTTGCCAATGAAGATCGAGATTTACTCATGGTCCAGGAAACACCGTTTGTGAATACTGGTATTACTTTAGCTAGTCCAGGTTCCTTAACTTGGGATGGTAGCTCTGGTTCAACTATAATTCAGGCCTCAACTAAGTCTCCGGATCAATTTTTGTTTAATCCAATGTCAACAAGCCTAAATGAACTTCCTTCCGTTTGTGAATCTGAGACAATATTCACCCCTGAAAAGGATGCGGATCAGAACAAAGCTGGTGTGATACCAAGAAAAGAATCACCTTTTAATCTTAGTGTTTGTTCTTATACTCAGAAAAGGCGGAAATCGGTAGCTTCAACTTTCATTAACCTTGTTGATGAAGAAGAGAGTGATACTCCTGCTCAAATTCCAGGTTCATTGAATTCTGATGGACTAGCCAATGGAGATATGCTTCGTAGAATTGAATTTGGTTTAGAAACTAGTTCAGCCGAGAACAATTATCTGGAGTCAAATGTTCCGCGGCCATTGGCAACTGATAATACTATTTTCTCTTGTCCTGTTATGGATAAAAGACTACAAATTTCCTGTTTACTCTGCAGAAGCCCTTTAGGCCGCCCTGAAAATAATTTGTATATCAGGTTTTCATTGATCGTGTCTTCAAAAGTCTACCTGTTATCTCTTTTCAAAGAGAGATTAATTTCTTGTGATTCAAATACGCCACCAACCGTACCCGTTATAATAACTGACATTTCATCAGTTGATCCAAGACTATGCAATGGAACTCTCGAAGGTGACAGAGAACAGGGCATTTGGCACGAAGAAGATGGGTGTGTATTCAAAAAGGTCTTCTGCCCCTTCTGCAGCAACCCTAACAATTGTCTTGGTGTGCAAATCAAAGCAGCTGATGAAAACAATGTGCAGTTGCTAAACAAGGTAGGCTATTAGGACCTTAATGTCATAGGATTTTTTTTCCCCCATTCTTCATACAGTGTCTTATCCTTTTTTATATTCGAAAATGCTCGTCTGAAACATACTTTTCATCTGCAGATAATGCTTTACCATGGAAGTGTAGTAATTAGAAATTCTGAAGCAGCACAGGACCGGGCTGCGAAGGATAAGGTAATTGTAATACTGGGACTAATGATTCTTCCATCATTGACCCCTTGTCTTTTCCAGACATGCCATGATACTAAGACAAATGCTGAAATTTTGCTTTCATCCACTTAGCAATGATGCAGGAGTACTTTCCATTTCAGGCACTATATTGCATGCTGTCCAAAAAATTTGAATACTTGGCTAAAATCGTTTGGTAAGATATAACTGAACATACTATTTGTTACAGGTTAATTGCTCAAGCACGAAGACTGCCATTTTAAATTCCATTGATAAGTTTGCATATTCCTCCCAGCAGTCGGACTTGGGAGGATGGAGGAATACAAAATCTAAGGTTAGATACAAAGAAATTCTTTAAATCACTGAGACATTCTGTCCATTCCAATTTTTTTTTTTTACTTTATATTTGATATGTTGCAGCTAAAACTTTCAAAGAGATAGCGTTGGGCATAAACATGTGAGTTGCACATAACTAAATTTTGTTCTTTACAAAGCCTTCGCTTGATGAGATGTGGGGAAGTTAGAGGGATGTACATTTTGGTGAATGACTGGTCTTTGAATCTGATATGTCTCATAGTAAATCAAACCGGCAGCAATTACGGACTTACCATATCCCAGTCTAATTTATGAAGCTGAGGTTGCTGTCCTGTCCGTTTATAGGACTAGTGTATATTCTTTTGGTTTTTATAACATCAATTTTGTTGGCATATTTTTCTGAAAGGTGCCAAAGGTTTAATCAAAATAACTGGCTATTTCTCTTCTCGTTTCTGATTTACCAGGGAGAGACATTTTTTTTTTAAATTTTACAAGCATCATCATCTCTCGTTTTGCTTAGACTTAAGTACATTGAGCAAACGCAATATATAGAGTTGACATCAACGAGATCGAATTTTAGGATATAATACTTTTTCACTGAAGTTATTTGGTATTTGAAACATTAATGGTGAGTCATGTTTACTCAATCTCGCCATACCGCACCTCCAAGCTTTAACTGGAACTTTAAGCTCGTACGAAAAATAAAAACCATTTCACAAAAAAAATATTTTATCATTTTGAACCTTTTGTTTCAAGTTTTCTGATTAAAAAATTCATACTATATCTTGTTATATATACACTAATAATTTTATTAAATTTGCTCTTATACGTTATTTATATTTTATCTCTATGAAATTAATGTTAATCAAAATAATTAATTAAGAAATATTAAACTCAAAATATTATTTGGTATTATTTATTATTAATAATAAAATTATTATTTGAGAAAAATAATATTTGTATTTTTTAAAACCTATTAAGCTTATAAACTAAACTAAACTAAAGTGATATATATTTTTTAATATTTTAATCTAATATTCACAATAATCAAGTTTTTCTTTTCATCATAATTTTTCCGACCGTTACTGCTGCAATTGTATCCAATTATATAGGTTTGTAAACCAATCGAACGAATACAAATGGGGTATATTCATGTTCGTTCGTTTAAATTTAATCGAATAAATAAATGAATACGAACATAAACGAGCGAAAAAGTTTTTGTTTGTATTTGTTCGTTAAGGAATGTAGCTTGTTCGTATTCGTTCATATTCGTTCATTTAAATGATAAACGAATACAAATGAACGAACATAAACGAACGAATGTAAACGAACACAATAAATGACCGTAAACGAACACAAATGAACAAACGTAAGCAAATACAATAAATGAACGTAAACGAACATAAATGAAAATATATTTTTTTTCTTTCCTAACAATTTTAGGATTATATTATATTTAATTGTTTTGAACTTTTTTTATTTGTATTTACAATTAATTGAATTTTAAAATATTTATAGATATCAAATTAAAATTTATTGGGATTTAATATTTTAAATGAGTCTAGAGAGATTGAGCTAAACATAAATGAATACACATAAGCAAACGAACATGAACAAACAAAATATTACCAAATGTTTACGAACATAAATGAAGGAATGAACCATCTATTCATGTTCGTTCATTTAATTAAATGAACACAAAATATTGTTCATGTTTTTTCGTTTAATAAATAAACGAACATAAACGAACTTTCCGTCAAACAGTTCATGAACGGTTCGCTGAACATTCGATTCGTTTACATGCCTACAATTATATATTTTATCATTAATTTTAATCTCATCATTACAATATTTAATGTTATTTATTTGAATAAAATTAATGTTACTGTTCACCAAATCAACTTTAATAAGATGAAACAAGGGAGCTCTATCTAGTCCAGTCCAGTTCTGTTTAATGGATCCGTATTGAATAGAATCTTTTATATTGATGCCCAACGCCCACCTCAACCCCATCCTCCCGATTTTCATTTCCAGCGCTATTGGATTTTATTTTTTTGGAAGGAGAGCGCAATTAATCTTTAATTTGCTACTTAATCTCTCTGCCGTTTTGTTTTCTCCTTTCTACTTTTCCTTCTCTCTCCCCTCAACCCTAACCCTACCTTACAATCGGGTATGTCCCTTCCGACCTTCATTGATGTTCATTTTCCCACGATTTTTCCCGTTTTCCTATCGATTTTCGTGTTTCTCTATTGATTCCGATCTTAATTGCAGGATTCGTCATGAAGGGAGGTAAATCCAAGTCAGATACTAAGAGTGGCAGGTTATTTTTTTCTTTATCTTCTTCATATCGGTTGTTATAGGTTCTCAGATCTAGATGAGGTTTTTATATTTTCTTATTGGTTGAGTTTATTCTCTGATTTGTTGATAGGCTTTCCGTGAACAAGAAATCAACTGCCAAAGCTGGGAAGAAATCGGGGAAGGCAGCTAAGGATCCAAACAAGCCAAAAAGGCCTGCTAGTGCCTTCTTCGTTTTCATGTAATCATTCATTATTATATAGTGTATATGTTAGTTTTTTTTTCTTTTCTTCATATTTTTTTTTGTTTCACTGAAAGCTCTGACGTTTATATTATTCGTGTAAACCACAATTGCTAAAATAAAGCGTCAAGGAATTACTTCGTTGACTTACAATCATATTCTTATCTAATTCGGTAATTTTGATATCTTGATCTTTAGGGAGGAGTTCCGTGAGGTGTACAAGAAGGAACACCCTAAAAACAAATCAGTTGCTGCTGTAAGTATGGGCTATAATTTTTATTTCTTATTTTTGAAGCCGTAGATTTTTTATATTTCTCCTGCGATCAAATTTAGGTCGGCAAGGCTGGTGGAGATAAATGGAAGAGCCTGTCTGATGCTGTGAGATTCTCTTTTCCCGTGTTCATTTTTAAAATTCTTTAAAACGAAACATACAAATCTGTTTTCTGATTAATTTAAAAAACAATAACATCTAGGAAAAAGCACCTTATATAGCAAAGGCAGAGAAGCGAAAGGCTGAGTACGAAAAGAACATGAAAGCCTACAATAAGAGTCAGGTATCCCCCTTTATATTTCCAAATGAGTTGTTTTTTAGGGTCTTCCTTTAATGAGCTCGAAGTTTCTGGTTTTGGTTGTTAATAGTTTGTGAACCCTTTTTTTTGTGTGTGTGGGGGGGGGGGACGAATACCAGGCTGAGGGTCCCCAAGAAGATTCAGAGTCTGAGAAGTCAGCGTCCGAGGTGAATAATGATGATGAGGAGGATGAAGAGGGCAGTGGAGAGGTGAGTTGTGATAATTCAGTTTTTTTTTATGTTGTTACGGTTCTTGTTTGTTATTGAAATGGTACATTTTTTTTAAAATGCAGGAAGAAGATGATGATTAGGAAGGAAGGAAAGATTGATGGAGGAGATATAGCATAATGAATGTAGGCCGGTGATAGTTGTTTGATCAAAATCTTAGTATGTTAATGCTTTTGATGTTTCCCTGTTATTCCTTTTAGATGGTCATGCATGTTTTCTAAAGGGAAAAATTGTACCTCTAAATCCCATTAGCTCCTTCTGACATTTCATAAATTAATAGATGTGGATGGTGGAAGATTTACTTATTGCTTTATATATACACATACTAAATAATATTGTACCCTAGATTTTAAAGTTGAATGGCATGGAAAAACTCGTTTGTAGCCCCCCAGTCGTTTATTCTTGAACTTTGAATCACAACTATTTATCATGCACGTTGGTATTTTGATGATGCGTTTGATTCATTTGCTGATGTGACAGGCATTGAACAATTCATTTTTATATCAATTCAGATGGTAACAGTAGTCCATCGATAACAAGTCTGATCGAGGTTTTAGAAGCATCGATTATTTTGTGTTCCGTGGTTGTCTACCTACGCACATTTTTGTTTGTGATTTATCAAGGTTACTAGTATTCATGCTGGTCTGAGAGTAGAATACAGATTTCCTTTTCCTATAACATGTATTGTCATTGTGGCTACATGTTTACGACCTGGGGCTTATTGGATTATGATCTTTCATATTTTTGTTAGGCATAATGTCAAAAAAGGTATCTAACGTTGGGATCAAAATGACAGTTTTGACAAATATTGAGGGACTAATTTTGATTTTATGTCTTTTTGTTATTATATCTGCCTTTACAACCTAATGGATTGTAATGTGATTTGCTACCCTCGTTTATTCTTGGGCACTTAACTTATTTTCTGCTCTTGGAGAGTTTTCTGTGTATGCATGTGTATATTTATGTTTTGATTACGTTAAAGTGAATTTTTAAGTTATTCTTTGTATTTTATTATAATATTAAATTTAAATCAAGAGTTCCAATGTTGCGTAGTCAATTTTTTTAAAATCATGTTTATGGAAGGTCAATAATAAACATTTTTTAATAATAGTATTGAATCTAATAAGAGCTTGGCGATTAACATGTAACCTCGTATGTTATTTCTTTAAGATCAATACTCAAGGGACTTAACAATAGAATGCATTCTAAAAATTGTATGCATAAGGTTGGAAAAAAAAAACTCATTCCTTGATTCATTGTTATAATAGCTATAGGCTTGGAAATATTATCTTCTTGTCTAAAAGCAATATATCACATGGGGGACACCCAAGGCATGCAGAACATAGTCATCACCTTCACTTCTCCGCATCCTATGACAAGTATTTCCTTGGAAATTCTCTCCTGTACTCCTTTATTTTACTTCTTCTCCTAGTGCTATAGGGCGAAGGAAGTTGGAAAACCAGATTGTTTCCTTCATCACTGCATCCAATAATTAAGATTATTTTACTTCTCCTCCTAGTGCTATAGGGCGAAGAAAGTTGGAAAACCAGACTGTTTCCTTCATCACTGCATCCAAAATTAAGATTTCTTCTAGAGAAAATGTTGCTTTTGTCGCTTAGAATCAAATCCGAATCATATCGGTGGTATTCAGATCAAGAAGCAGTGCTGCCTGAAGACTGGTCCAAATGACGATGAGAAACTTGTAATAAGAGTTTAATTGAGTTGCCATCAGATCATCCACTTACATCAATACACTCATCCAAATCAGCATCACATATTAATAAGACCCACTCAGAATCATCATCCATGTACATAAAATCAAATCCACTTGTATCATCTATATCAAACCTTCTTGCAATTTCATGCAATATATCTTTAATCCCCCATTTACTTTGCATGCAGAAAAGTATCTTCACATCTCCATAGGCGACCTTTACCCTTTGAGCATCCCTATCCTGAGCAATTGGACTAGTATTCTTTGTAATTATGGGTTGAATACTGGTCAGGGATAAGCTGTTCCTTGAGAGATCTAAGGCTCTGTGATGTCGGGAAGAGCTTTAGTCTTTCTTGACTTGGGGCGTGAAGCTCTGCGACACTTGTGACCATTTTCAACTCACCGTCCCCAGGCTATAATTTTGAAGGTTGATGAGTTCCAGAAGAACAGCTATGATTTGATACATGAGGAGGAAGGTGAATTTGAAGTAGCAGCTTGGGAAACATCCCTCAGGCTGTAAGGTGGTTTCCTTTGGCTTACCATTCTGCTCCGATGCCGAGGCCGAAAATGTACTCTTTCCCAATGATATTGAACAGGGACGAAGCTATCTTAGAAGTGGGAGGGGCAATTGCCTCCCCTAATTTTGACGGTTTAATTAGTTTTAGACTATTAATATTTTTGAAATCATTACAATGAAGTTTTTGTCCTTCTCAAAATTTACTGGTTTAATTATGTTTTAGGATCCTTTCAGTTTTAAAATCAAATTTTGCTAATTTCTTTGATTTAAATTTTATGATTTATTTAATTTTAAAGATGCTATTATTCCAAAGTTAAACAATTTACCCCTCATAGTTCAATCCCCATTTTGTCCCTGATCTCGGAGAGGACATCTATGGGAGATATAGCAAGAAAACAGGAAATGTAGATTTTATTTTTTTTAGTATTATCATGCCATGCTATATAACAAGGATACTTTCCGAAAATAAACCAGAAAGAAAACAGCTACCAACACTTGCCACCAATGCTTTTTGCTGAATCCTTTAGGCTTCCACAAAAATATTGGCGGAGAACTCGCAAAGTGATTGCTTTTTCGCCTTGCTAAAGAATCAGTTTAAAAAGGTAGTTCTGATGCCGGGACTTGAACACGAGTCTATCGGGTGAGAGCCGAGTATCCTAATCAATTAGACTGCAACGGGGATTTGTTATCTGGTAATTGAATTTGTTAATACCAACGCTTGAAAAACTCTTATTCAACAACACGGGTTGCTAATCAGAGGCAAACAGTAGAAAAAAGGAAAGTGCCATGGTTTTCATGCTTCCACAAATTAAGACTACAAGCCAAGTGTAAAAGGTGGGAGGTTTCTGCTATAAGACGGTTAAAATACGGTTAATACACAGTGTGACTGATTAAAAGCGCTATCATAAATGTTATAAACTTTCATTGAAAATGTTATTTGTGTTTATAATAATAATAGTAATAATCAGAAATGTTATCGTTGTATGTAAAATGGGTAAAGAAAATATTAACTTTAGTAATTTAGGTTAATTACTGGAATGTTATCAATAGTAGTAACATAACAGGTTGTGTCTAAAATATTATAACGGTAATAAAATAAGTTAATTATTTATTTTTTATTATTATTATCAATATATGAGGTTCGCCTAATATATTACGAGAGTTTAAGCTGATAGGGTCTTATAAATTTCACGATAATAAAATATGTTGATTAGTTATTTTATTATAAATATTACTGACATATTAGGCTGCGACTAAAATGTTAATAAAGTTTAAGCTTATGGAGCCTTAGAAATCTCACCATAACAAAATAAGTTAATTATTTATTTTGTTATAAATATTACTAACATATTAGGTTGCGCCTAAAATGTTACTAAAATTTAAGTTGACAGGACCTTAGAAATCTCACGATAACAAAATAAATTAATTACTTATAATGCTATGAATATCTACAATATCCGATTGCGCTTTAATATGTAATTGTATCATTTGGAGGGATTTTTTTAAAAATAAATATCGATGATGGTCGATACTTTAGCATTTGATGAATGGTAAAATATAGATACTTTTTCTATTATGTTTGATACTTTAACATTTGAGAAAGTTGATAGAAATTAAAATATAAATACTTATTTATTTGATAAAATTAATTGTTCAAGTAAAGATAGAAAGTTACTTATTTGAAAATTTCCATAAAAAATATCTTTGCAAAATATTGATACTTACACAAAATATTGATACTTCAACTTCTCCTACTTCCTTATAATTAACCGTTATTGTTTTATTAAGATAGCCAATAAATAACAAAACGAGGCAAGACAGATAAAATATCGAAACTTTTTATATAAAATGTATGCGAATAAGTATCGATACTTTTCTACAAATATCGATACTTTCGAATCTAAAAAATATATGGAAAATAAGAAGGCTGCAAAGTATCGATACTTTTCCACAAGTATTGATACTTTTGAATTTAAAAAAGAATTGAAAAATGAGAAGTCTGCAAAGTATTAATATTTTTCCACAAGTATCGATACTTTTGAATTTAAAAAAATATTTCAAACGGTTAAGTTGTAAATATTTTTACCGTTTACATTATTATTATATCTATAAATAAACCACTAGAAAGTTTAACGTAATAGGTGGTGCCCAATTTTTTTAACCAGTTAAGTTGTAAATATTTTATTGTTTACATTATTATTATACCTTTAAATAAACTAATAGCTAGTTTAACATAACATGTTGTGTCTATTTTATTTAATCGGTTAAGTTGTAAATATTTTACCGTTTACATTATTATTATACCTTTAAACAAACAGGTAGCTAGTTTAACGTAATAAATTGCGCTTATTTTATTTTAACCGGTTAAGTTGTAAATGTTTTACAGTTTACATTATTATTATACCTTTAAACAAATAAGTAGTAAGTTTAACGTAATAGATTACACATATTTTATTTTAACCGGTTAAGTTGTAATTATTATCACACTATCGATATTTTTACAACGATATTTTAATGAAAATTTTCAAATAAGTAACTTTTGATCTTAACTTGAACAATTTCTTCAAATAAACAAGTATTGGTATTTTAATTTCTATCAACTTTCTCAAATGTTAAAGTATCAAACATAATAAAAAAAATATTAATATTTTACCATTCATCAAATGTTAAAGTATCGATCATCATATTATAGCATCGATATTTATTTAAAAAAAATTTGATACTTTACAACCTTCTCATTTTCTATGTTTTTTTTTAAATTTGAAAGTATTGATATTTGTGGAAAAATATTGATATTTTATATATATATTTCTTATTTTTTCATATTTTTTTAAAAATTCAAAATTATCAATATTTATAGAAAAAATATTAATACTGTGCAGTCTTATTATTTTTCATTTTTTAAATTCAAAAATATCTATACTTGTTAGAAAAATATCGATAGTTATCGATTAAATAAATTTATGTTTGCCCATTGTAATATAATATATTAAGTATAAGTTAACATTTTCAATTACACTAAATCAATTTTGTTAAAATTCTTTTCAGATTTTTGGTTTCAGATTTTCGAGAGTTCTGTGT